CCTGCACTCTCCCTGGCGGTCCTGGAAGTACTCCTGGTCCACTTCTGGGTTCATTGCTAAACATGCTGGAGAACCCACCCCTCCCACGCTGCTGTGGGACGCTGCATCTGCCCCAGCACCACAGCAATCACAAGCCACACCTGCTACCTCAAGGTATGTAGAAAAAAACTTTTTAAAGCTGTGTCTGTGTCTGTGTCCGAATTGCTGACTTGCTGAATCAGCATCGACTCATGAAATTCGGTTTCGGCCAAATCACACTGGGGACAGTGATCCAAATCATTGTCCCCAGTTCGGGTCAAATCCAAATCTAAGAGCAGAGTTGACCTGCAGATTGACAGCCATGAGCAAAAACAGCTGAGCACAGATTGGGGCACGAAAAGCAGGCCGAGCAGACTTGGGAAATGATCCAATTGGCACTGCAAGGGGCAGCACCTGATAGCCAGTTTGGAGTCTCAGGGGCACATGCCTGGGCTAGGAATTAAGTCATGGCCAACCAACTCTGCCTCAGTCCAGGTCACAGGTAAGTTAGGAGCAAAGCGGAACTGGGCCCAGTTGGGGCTTCTAAAGGATAGTGGTGCTCCCCCAAACTGTTATATGTAATTGGGAGGAGCTTTAAATTTGGGGCCTCCAGCTTGAGACCTGATTTTTAGAAATGTGATTATAGCTCCAATTCCCAATATCTAGTGGCCCCTGTGCCCTGCCCAGGAGTTCTGCAAACTCGCACATGCACCCATCTTTCTCATATGTGGATGTCTGATGCTGCCAGAGTGATGCAGGTATGGAATACAAAGCTGTGCTGCTTAAACCACTCTCCTTCTTTTCCCACCACCAGCTGCCCCTGAGATATATCCCACCCACCTTGCCTCTTATCAGTATAACAGCAAACAGATCAGGGAACTGCCAAGAACATTGCTTCTCCACACAGAGAGAAAACGTGTATGGTGTGTGGGCTCCTTTTGAATTTTCTACGTATAGTCTGAAGAGTTGTTTACAAGGAAGCTATCCTCAGCCCATTTATACCTCTGTCTGGCATGGCTCTTGCTATCAGAGACAGCTCCCAACAGCAGCAAATGGTTGTTTGCAAGTCCAGCGTCTGTAATGTGTGTTTAATGTTTGACCATTGTCGGAGGCTCTCTGTCTGCTCCAGTGAGATCGGTCTGGGCCAGGACTGTTTACCATCATAAGACAGATCTCTCTCCAGTGACAGTCATTGGGTCATTTAGGTTAACTACCATGCATCACTCCAGGGCATTTTGGGTGCCAGAGACTTGCCTGGCTCACAGCATACTAGGTTTTAAGAATTCAAACCTGCCTTGATAAGTAGAAGAGCCATTAAGGCTTAATGAACCTGGTGGCTGTGACCCTCCCCGTTGTTAATCAGAGGGGGTAGGTCATTCCCTGTGCACTTCTTGCAAGAGGAAAATTTATGCCCATTAAAATAAATGGGTTATTTCACTTCAGCTCCCATCCTGTTGCAGGGTCTCCCTGGCCTTCTCTCAGTAAGCTGGACTGCAAATACAGAGTCCCTCTTGAACTTCAGTCCAGCCAGCCCACACTGCCCCTCTCCATGACCAGTGCTTCCAGTTCATCAATATGGTCCTTGTCCATGCATGTCTCTGAGAATGGACAGTCATGCTAAACTCCTTTGGTCTTACTGCATCTTCTCCTGTATAACAATCTGACTGGGCCTACAGCTTGGTATATGGCTTGGTATACTTGGATGTTCTGTGGAGCTGGGTTGACTTTTTCCTGTTATTTGCATTGCCCCATTGGCCTGAGAAGTTAGCCAACAGGGGCTTTTTCACGATTGTTTCCATGAGGACGAAAATGTGGTCATATGAGTCTGAAATGTTCTTGGGTGGAATCTTGTTTCTTTATGATGAATGGACCCACAGTGCTGTTTCCCTTAACACAGCAGGAACAAGAACATTGGGCAGCTTTATTACTTGGAAGTCCCCAACCCTGCCTCTCCAGCTAGTGCTAGGACAAACGCACTGTGCTCTTCTGCTCCTTCCTGGGGCTATGTTCATAGATGGCTATTCATTTTCTTTGCTTTTGCACAAAGCTCACTAGAAAGCCTTCCAACCCCTCAGACCATATAGCTTAGATTTGCTCAGGTTTCAGCATGTGGGGCCTTGGGCACTATCATGCCTTGGCCAACTATCATTACCTAAAGGGACATTTTAATTGTTCCTTTCCATTCAGAAAAACTGATGAGCTTATATTGCAAAATGAGCTATTCCAGGATTACTCTCCATGGGGACTTTCTGTTCTAAAATAAGTGATTTTATTCTGGAATAAGTGCTCTGCTCTGGACACGGTAATTATTCCAGAGTAGCTATCATGCTTATTCTAGAATACAGTATCCATGTGGGGAGCTATTCTGGAGGAGCTATTGTATTCTGGTTCATTTCCCTTATATAGAAAAACCCTTAGCCTAAAACGACGTTTACCACATTCTTCAGTCTCAACTAGTCTGAGTAAAGATCCAGGACTCTTGCACTAGTAGCCATTAGGGCTGTGTGAAACGGCACTGTTCCGTTTTGACTTCAGTTTTGAGGTTTGGACAGAACAGCATTTTGTTTTGAATTTCATTTCGAGTCGAAACAGCCTCACTGTTTTGTTTTGTCGAAACCGTGAGGCTGTTTCGACGTTTTACCCGACCATTGTGCTGGGGAAAGGAAGTCAGCTTAGCTGGGCTGAGTTCCCAACCCCAGCCCCACCATCAGGCTGGGGAAATAAACTCAGCCTAGGGAGGTTGTGTTCCTTTCCCCAGCACGATGGTCAGGCTGGGGTTGGGAAGTCAGCCCAGCTAGGCTGACTTCACATCCCATGTGCTAGATGGGGCTGGGGCTGGGGCTGGGGCTGGGCTGACTTCCCATCCCCAGCCCGATTTTTAATTTTAGGGCTGGGGAGGGGAACCAAGTCATTGGGCTCAATTCCTTTCCCCAGCCCAATCGCAGCACTTGGGAGGGGAACTGAGCATCCCTAGGCTGCTGAGAGCACAGCCCTGGCTCTCTCCTATCTCCCACCACCTCACTGGCTGCTTTGAAACTCGAAATGTTTTGACTAGCCTCATTTTGTTTTGAGGCTGTTTCAGAGCACTTTGTTTCGATTCAATTTTGCTGTTTCGAGCTTAAAATGAGTCGAAACAGTGTTGAATCGAAACAGCCGGTAAAATTTTGCACAGCCCTAGTAGCCATTAATCCCTTCCAGCATAACAACACCTCCATAGAATCCTGTGATTTGGGTTGGGTAATGGGATTGGGGATGAAATCAGACATGTTTACTCTATCTGCTCTACATGATGTCGAGGTACTAGGGCAGAAGTCAGGGATTGGCATGATTATTCAGTCCCTCAATCACATGCCTTGGCTGGGCACAGTTTGGATTGTGTAGGGGCTGAGTGATTGTCAGGACTCTGCTATGGTCACTAGGGATAGTCAGAGGCCAAGGCCAAAGCTTCCAGAGCAGCCTACCAGGGTAGTAAGATTAAGCTACTCAAGGGTCTGTAGCCAGTGGCACACAAGAGTGTGGCATGAGCAGTATCACATGTGCTACCTTGGATTGCCAAATTTAAATGATTGTGTACCGTTTGCAGATGGTGTGGGGGGCTTTGTCATAAGTCCCAAATGGACTTATCATTCCCTTGGAGCCATAGCAAGACTCCTTATCCTCTCTGCCACTTAAGCCTACCCTTGGGCTGATTTTAGTATTTGCAATGTGTCAAGTGGATATGGTGCCTTATAGGTCTGCTTGAGTGCTGGGTACTGCTCTGGTGGAAATTCACGGTTTCAGAAGATGAAACCTTCAGACTAAGGTTGGATTGAACCTGAGCATCACCATAATTTAGATTTTTTTCCCTGCTTTTCAGCTGTTGCATTGAGAGCAAATATACTTAGTGCACACACTTCGTATCCTGATGCCTAACTGAGAGCATGCCTCTTTGGAAAGTTCTTCAGAAAACTTTGGCAGACAAGGTTCCTTGGGTGAATTTGATATCTTTTATTAGACCAACCCAAATGGTTGGAGAATAGTTATTAAGCAAGCTTTTGGGTTCTAATAAAAGATATCAAATTCACCCAAGGAACCTTGTCTGCCTATGTCCTTAGACCAACACGGCTACAACCCAAACCTCAGAAAACTTTGTGCAGATTGCTTTGGAAATCTACAGTATGCAGACTGGGAATCGGATCTTGATTTTGCTTTTACCTTTCTGACAAATAACCTTCTGCACCACTCTGGTTGGGGAAAGGGGTCTTGATGTAACAAGACTGTAGGGACTGTAAATGCTTCAGTGTTTAAAAAGGCAACCACAATACTAACCACCTCTGTAAGGTGTTTTGAAATATGCACATAAAGTAGTAAAGTTTGACATGTGAATTATTTGTAACATACACAGAAATCAGGCCCTTGCAGAAGCAAAGACTTTCCTCCCCCTCTAACAGCCTATGGTGCACTCACGCTTATAGAATTTCAGACTCTGGTCTGGCAGTCCCTTCTTATTATTGCTTTCTCTTGTGGCCTCCTGCCTCTGCAAGAGTGCTAGAGTCCATTTTATGTTACTCCATGACCACATTAAGGGACAGTAGGCCCCTAGTTTCCAAAACTCTGGCCTGCACTAACAAGAGTCACAGAAGAGTCTGCTTCTATGGAAAACAGTTTGTGCCTGCAACACAAGGCTCACAGTGATTGAACTTGAGAACAACTGTTTGCTGTAGCAGGAAAGCAATTCAGGATTAAATGTAATGGAACTTCTGGGCTCTGGGGACATGGTACTGGGCTGGGAGCATTGAGCAGCTGCTCAGGCTGGGATCAGGTGCATGTGCCAAACAGAAAGGGGTGACATGAACAAATATCACTGAGGCACCCTCAGCAGTGGGGAGGATGTGGCTGAAGCAAACCTAGGTTCTGTTTGCAAGCTCCATTGTTAGTGACTGGTAGGGGACAGGGCAAGTCCACCGGTTGTTCTAACTGTTTGCTTTCTCCTCTGTACACAGGCATTTATCCTCTGGATTAGCCCCTCCTCAGCCTCCATCCAGGATCAATACTGTGAAAGTTTACCTCCTGCCACTAATTACACAGGTAAGCACATACCGTGTCATCCTTCTGCCTGGCCCCTGAGCAGCCAGCCCTCTCCATCCTCTTGGTTTATTTCTGTGGCTTCTGAATGGACACTGCTTACCTGGTCCCTAATGGGATTCCCCTGGATCCCTAATGGGATCTCTGAAATTAAGATGTAAGAGAGTCTGTTGCCTGAGTATTAAGTAGTCTTGTTCCTTCCCAGTGGTAGCTTTGAGCTCTCCAGAACCCCACAGCTTCTCCTTGCTAATGGCACGAAGTTAGCATGAGCTGCATATTCCCAGAGAAGTGGATAGGATTCTTCACTGGTGATTCTGGTGGGGACCCCCCAAGCAACTTCAATCCACCTCTGTGCCGTTGAAAGGTTTGGGAGAGACATCTGGCATGCCTCAGAGTGCCCACCACCACTGTCCTTCTGAGATGGAACACTTCCAGAATCTCCATTACACTGATTCTCTGGTTCTCCCTGCAACATGCTCCCTCTACCAAGGCTGGCCAGGGGCCTTTCAGAGGACAGCCTTTGCTCTGTAACTCCTGAACTTTGGTCCAGAGATAGGGTTCTTTATGCTGTTCTGCCTTTTACACAGGGGCCGCATGTCAGCTGAGAGCTGGTGGAGGGAAGACACCCTTAAAAGGAGGGGCTAAGGGCGGGTGATCAGGGAGAAGAGTGGAAAGAACCAACAGCAAAGGAAGGGTTGGAGCAGACAGCCACCCAGTAAAGGACACCTGGTACTAATGGCAGGAAGTTCTCTAGTGGCCAAAGGTCCAGACTTGACTGATTTTTGTGTAGTCGCTCCTGCCAGCAAGAGCCTCTGGCTCCCCAGGGCAGTTCTTCCTGCAGGCAAATGGTAAGACAGACCTCTCATCTCTGGATGAGTGGGGATGGCAGTACTGCTCTATGGTACCTCTGTAAGTTTTATCATTGAGCTTCTCTGCCATGTAAAATTCTACATGGAAGAGGATTCAGCAAGCATAATATATAAGGGCTGCTGGGCCCTGCTCATGGGGGAAGAAGGGGACAGGAAGTTTGCCTCAGGTCTATCCATGCAGTACCCCTTCTATTCCATTTCTGCTACAGATCAGCTGGCATCTGACCAGCAGTGGAATACCCTCTTGCTAATGCCCAGTCCCCATCCAAAGCCAAGTCATCTTCCTACTTCCCACTAGCAATCCAGACTGAGTGCCAGCATCCCTGAGGGACCATGAGTCACTTAGCTCAGGGGCCGCATGTGGCCAGAGAGGCAGAGGAAGGCATAAGCCTTGATAGGCTCTTCAGTCTAGAAGGCCTATTGTCTGATTTGCATTGAGGAAACCATGGTATCTGAGCAGCAGCCCAGCCTGACCCACTAATCAGCATAAGGAGCTCCATCAGGGTGACTGATGAACTTGGATGAGCTGTGCTGATGGATGGTCCCCGCCACGCTACTCCCATTAGCACAGCTTTAAAAACTACTTTTTGAAATTAAATATTGGCATCAGCTCCTGGTGACTCACCCCTTCCCTGGCTGGTGGCTGCTTGCAAAGTGGCAAGATAGCAGCCTGATAAACGAACACTCTCCATGCATCGCACCCCCATGGCAGAAGCTCACTCGTGCAGTAGGGGCCAGGAGAAATTTCACAGCAATAGCCAGACCGCAATGGGCCAGAGCTGACCACAGGGGGACCTGCACCCTGGAATACCACCTGGCAGCATGACTCTTGGGGCAGAGCCCATGGCAATGGCAGCCCAGCAACGCCTTGTGTTCTGGGAACTAACCCAAATGCTGGTGTCACTAAGTTTATTGCTCTGAGAGCTCCTGGGTGAACTGCAGGTCAGCCCAGTAGCTGGTCATGCCCTGTGGGCTCAAGTTTAGCTCAGGGAAAGGAGGGGAGGGCTGGAATTACTGTATGCCGAAGAGCTGGAGAGTATCACAAACAGCAGGTACATCTCCAGAAAAGAATACCACAGGGACATGCATTGACAGGAGACACCAACAAGCCTAAATACCCAGAGAAACCTCTACAGCAGGGGTTTCAAACTCATTAGGCCCACTGGCTGGATGAGTGGTATGAAGCAAGTCCAGGGCCTGGACAGGTCTAAAAACAAACCCTGCACACCTTGTGCAGCAGGCACTCTGGACTGGCCCTGTGTATTGTGTGCAGTGCATGTCCTGGACCAGGTCCGCAGGGTTGGAGCCAGTATACTGCGTGTGGTGTGCAGGCCAGCTTGGGTCATGCCATTTGCCATTTGCAGGTGGCACTGTGGACTGGAGGATAGGGTTCCACAGGCCATATCCAGCCTGAAGGCCAGATCTTTGAAAAGCCCCTCCTCTAAAAGGACCACTGCTCCCTTGGCTTACCCATGTGCGTAGATCTGGAAAGCTCTCTTTCCAGATCTAGCCTAGGCTTCTGCCTCGTCGGTTCCCTTTTCCCCAAAGTCCCTTGAAGGGATTCAGTATCAAAGATCCCTGACTCCCATTAAATTTCATGCCAGGCTTCAGCTCTGAGAGGGTGATAACCTCTGTCTTTCCTCCAAGCCAGAGATAAGTCCTGATTCCCTCCTATTCTGTACCCATTTTTACTACATTGAGACTCCTCTTTAAGTAACTGCGTGTGTCTACACAAGACATTTACTGAAGACTTGCCTAATTAGCTTGGCAATAATTGTCGCAGTGTCTACACATACAGTGCTATTAGGATGGAGTAAACTAATTAACTCCACCGTAGGTTAATATCTGTAAACACAGGTACTATCCTACGGCAGTTTTTTACTCTGCAGCAACGCCTGTGTAGATGCTGACGGGGCTTACTGGGGCATGAGGATGATTTGGGGTTGGGGCTGCCTGCCGGCTAGTCCCATACTGAAGCACCCTTGTGCCCCAGCCAGCCTCTCTGTAGCACATTGAGCCAGGTTGAAGCAGCTCTGGGCTGGCAGGCTGACCCCCAGGCCCTCTACCAGCTGGTGCTGCTCTGACCCAATGTGCATATTAATATGTGGCACGCAAGAGCAATAAACTCTGGCATGATATGCACCAGAGTTTATTGCTATGCATTAATGGCATGTGTAGATGCACCCACTGGGTACAAACTTACATTTTAGCACAGTGCTCAGGTTAGTTATTACCCAGCGCATCTGCACATGGCCATACAACACCTTTGTTACTGTGCCGTCATTTAGTATTTCCTTTTGGAAGTACTAAAAGATGGTGCAGTAGCAGCCCATACTGCGCCGTGCCAGCCGCGCACAGTTATTTTTGGTTGCTATGTTGCCATAGCAATGCACTATGAGGGAGTGCATTGCTACAGCAATGTAGTGGCGACATCACAAGTTTTCTCAATGGATGCTACAGTGCCATAGTGTCTTATGTAGATACTCCCGCTGTGTTTAGAAGCCGACAGCCACACTCGGAGATCAAGACAGCAGGTGCCAGGTTCTGTATAAATCTGCGTAAGCAAGAGTAACACCCCCCCTCCCTCGCCCCCCCACGTTTACATTAAAAGTAAAATCTCCTGCTTTTGGCTGTGAGCCAGCCCTTCACCCATGCTCCACAGACATCCTGCATCTTGGCTACTGTAGATGCAGAAGACATTTCCTGAACAAAGGTTATTCCAAAATCACTTACTCCAGGGTTTTCTGGGCCATCTAGTGGTGGGGCCTGTCAGAGACAAGATCCTGGGCTGGAAAGCTCTGATGCAATTTGGCAATTCCTATGTTTCTAATGAAAGCAAGGGGGGACCCTGTCAGAGAGCTCATGACCAAGGCTGATGCCATTAGGGCACACCAGCTTTCATAGCCAGCCACATTCAAGAGAGCAGGGTTGTCAGCATTACAGCCAGCTGCTTTGATTTGCTGGAAGACTGACCCAGGTACCTATTTACAGTTCAACTGACTAGAGATCGTGTTAGCATGAACTCATAGTGAGGCTTGCATTCATGCCTTTGTAGCTGTTGAAAATCTTTTGCAACCCTGACTCTGCATCCTTTTTTTAACTTGCTGCCATAGACAAAATGGAATGGGATCAGGGGACAAGCCTACTCTATACTTAAGGTACTGATGAGGTATCTCAGCAGTCATAGTGGTTACAGGCAACTTGACCTGTAAAAGCGCAGGCTCAGGGGTGACCTGGTGGCTGCTTGTAAGTATATAAGGGGTGTACATCAGGATCTGGAGGAATGCCTGTTCACCAGAGTGCCCCAAGGGATGACAAGGTCAAATGATCACAAACTCCCCTGAGACCATTTTAGGCTGGACATAAGAAAAAAAACGTTACTGTCCAAGTCCCCAAGGCCTGGAATAGACTGCTTCCAGAGGTGGTGCAAGCACCTACTCTGGACTCTTAAACATTTGGACGCTTATCTTGCTGGGATCCTTTGACCCTAGCTGACTTCCTGCCCCTTGGGCAGGGGGGTGGACTTGATGATCTTCCGAGGTTCCTTCCAGCCCTAATATCTATGAAACTTCTGGACTTGCCCTTGGCAGTGGGTAATGAGCTCTTGGTGCAACAGTGGCCATATATTTATTATTAATAATCCTTTACATTGTGGTAGCTATTTAGGAGCTACAAGAATGGATTGGAATACTGTGTGCTGGGTGCTGTACAAACACAGGATGAAAAGTTGTTTTTTTGTCCCAAGGAGACTTCCAATCTGAGTCTCCCAAATGGAGGATACTGAGGAACCAAGTGTTTTCCCACCCCGCCCATAAAGCCACATGATGAAGTTATAAAGCCCTGGGTAAGAACAAGGTGTGTAACCAAAATGCCAAGATAGCGTTGGCCCAGGCACAGTGCGGACTGGAATTGTGGTCATAATTCATTTGTTTTTCTTCCCTGAAAGGTTTCATGTCTCTGTGTCATTTGTCCTTGAGAGTGTTAGGGTGTGATGAATGGCATTTGTTTTCCTCTTGTTCATCTCACCTGATCTATAGTATGCCTGGCTTTGTGGGCTCCTGATCTATTACATTCCAGATTGGTCTCCTCAGAAAGTGCTATTTTTCTGCCTTCTGCTATATACATATCTAAATT